TTTAAGTTTGAGCATCCTGAACTTCAGTCGCATGACTGAGCGGTTTAACTGACGCAGATCTAAAATGGGACGCAACCATCCATCCTTCTTTGGAACGATGAAGTACCGGCTGTAGAACCAGAACTCTCTGTCGTGAGGAGGGACCACCTCGATGGCCTCCTTCCTCAAGAGGGTGTTTAATTCCTGCTCAAATATCAGAGCCTGCTCAGGACCCATCAATGTGGGAAAGACCCCATTGAATGGCGGCGGCGGAGTGCCGAACTGAATGCGATAGCCTTTTTCTACAGTCTGCAGGACCCAATGAGACACATTTGGCAGTAGTTTCCACGCTGCTCAATAGTCTACTAAGGGAACCAGCCTCTCGATACTGGTCTCTGGTGTACTTGGAGCTGCTAGCTCGGTGCCCTGAAGCAGGCCAAAAGGTATCACGTTGGACGCAGCTGCCATCAGACCCAGCAGTCTCTGAAACTGCTTGGCAGTGAGTGACTGGCCTTCTCTGACTCTCGCGACTGCAGTGAGGTTCGACTCGATCCGAGCAGGGGACAATCGTGCCTGCATCGTGGTTGAATCCCACACCACGCCCAGATGAGTGGTCCTTTGTAATGGAGAAAGTACACTTTTCTTGGCGTTTAGTCTCAACCCCAATATTTTCATATGGGCGAGAACGACATCTCGATGTCGAACCACCGTCTGCCTCTCGATACTGGTCTCTGGTGTACTTGGAGCTGCTAGCTCGGTGCCCTGAGGTGGAGGAATGGCAGAAGTCGACCGAACTAACTGTTCTAGAGACCCCCGAAGGGGTGGCGAGCATCTCAGCTCCGCTACGTTTCCAGGCGGAAGACACTGAGATGTGTGCTCGCTGGAGACTGCTGCGCCCTGTAACTCTTGCAGGGTTAGCAGACTGATCTCCTGAGGGCTCTGAGGAGAGATGGACACCGTGTTATGCGGTGCACCCCGCTCTTCCCCAGTAGGGGCTGCCCTCAGCGGTCCTGAGCCATGATTGTCAGGACCGCTTTGTCAAGGGCTTCCTCGACTGAAGCACGACCCTCAGATCGGGCCTCACCTTGGAAGCCCCTGACTTGGACGCTCAACTTTTTAACCTCCCTGTATGAGGAGCTGGTACACGGCTGGGGCTGCTCCCGCCCAGCAGCCCCCAGAGCTAGAGAACAGCGAGGGACAAACCGCTGGAACGCCGCCGCCTGTTTACGAGCCTCCTGGTATCTGTCAACGACAGAATTGACGGCGTCGCCAAAAAGACCAGAAGGCGCAAGCGGGGCGTCCATGAGGAAGACCCTGTCATTCTCCTTCATATCAGACAGGGTCAACCATAAATGTCTCTCCGCTGCCACC